CAGTAACTAAAGCGTGAAGTAAATGCTAAGGCACATTGAAAAATGGATATATATATTTAAAATGGTTATATACAGGGTGGTTATAAAAAATGGTCTCACACCTATTTAATAGAAGTGGAAGAAACTGAGGCTTAGACACATGCCCCTTATCCCATATCATATAGTTCGTCAGTAGCACAACCAGTTTGAATCCAGGTTAGACTTCAACCCCATGCATTGAAGATGTAGCAGCCGCTGAGAAGTTTCTGTCCTCTTCGGCCTCCACAGCGCCCTCCTCAGGCCAGGGGTCTCTCAGCACGTGCCCAGCCAGGAAGATACAGTTGTTGCTGTTTGTCGTCGAGTCGGACCCGACTCATAGCGACCCCTCCTTGGGTTTCCGAGGCATATCACTACGGAAGTAGGATTGCCCAACCTCCCTAACGAGGAAGATACAGAGCTAATGAAAAAAGACATGGAATTTTTTGAATCTTTGAAGCCGAGTCAAAGGCTGCAGAACTAGCTGGAAAGCAGAGACTACTACGGGAATGCACGTGCGCGCTAAAAAGCTGCCCTGAAAGCTTGGGGGACCAGTATGCAGGTATGGAAGCCATGAGAACCTTGAAATAGGAACCTTGAATGCACGAGGAGGCTGTAACCTAAGTGGCCAAGGAAATGGGTGCAGTAGAAAGAAGTGTTAAGCATTGGACTTTGATCTCTGACTCCGGTATGGTGTCCAAAAAGGTTCCTTTAACGCGGAGAGGCGTGGCCCGAACGGGATGTTTTGGAGAGTTACGGTGGCCAGAAAAGCACAAGAAACATGGAATTGCAAGGACTCCAAGAGTCGGCAAGACGAAGCGAGCAGGATGGCCTGAAAGGCTGATATTACTCGAAGAGGCTGGTTTATTCGAAGGGACCGAAACACTGGAGGCTGTGGGAAGCGCGTATGGTGCCCGACAATGTCCTCGGAGTTTGGAGCATGAAGTGTGTCTATTAGGTGAAAACGAATGGACTAAGGCGTCTTGGGAGGGGAAGTATGGTGGCCGCGTTGGGCTTTTCAGAGCCGGAAGCGGCTCTCCCCGGAGGCGTGGCTGAGGCGCTCTTGCGGGATACGGTGGCTCGGCGGGCCGGTCCAAACGTGAAATCTCGCGCGATCGCGCTGCCGCCGTTGGGGACGGGGCGGGCCTGGCGGCGGGGGCGGGGACCCGGAGCTGGAAGATGGCGGCGGCGCAGGAGGCGAACGGGGCCGGCAGCGCCGTGGTGGCGGCCGGGGGAGGCGGCTCCGGTCAGGTACGGAGGCCGAGAGGGGCCTGAGGAGTTCATCCCCACCCGGGGGGCCTCCCACGGGGCGTGTCCTGCCCCTTTTCGAGGAATCCTGTGCATTAGGGACGCTTTGCCCAGAGGGACCTTGAGTACCCGGCCCAGGCGGGGCCGGTCGGCCGGGAAGGCCAGATAGTGCTGGGAGAGGGGCCCTGTTGCGCGCCGGGTTCCTTGCACGCTCGCGCGGGGTGGTCACCAGGTTTATTGCTCGAGCCGGGAAGACAGTGGCGCCAAAGAGGGCTGACTGGTACTCAGGGTTCTCGACTTCTTGATTCCAGACTCCAGGACCGTACCTAGAGTGGTTTGGCGTTCACCGTCTCGCTCGCAGCGCCTGAAGTGTGGGCAATGATTAATTGGGAGTTTTCTAGCTCAAGGGAACCAGTTAATCATCATGGCTAAGGGCATGTGTCGTGGAGGCCGACAGACCCATTTTAAAGACGGGAATCCAGGGGACAGTTTGATTTAGGGGTTTTAGCAGAGGTCACCCAGGTTGGGTTGGGGATCCATTCCATGTGAAAGTTACCAGGCATTGATAGTCCACAGTGGTCAGGGCTGGGATGGGTGAGCTTTGGGTATGAAACTGGTCCTAGGGAGGAATTAATGTAGATGCTGGTGACTTTGCACCCATTGTCTCCTTAACTAATCAGACAGCCATCAGCAGGCATTTGGGGAATTGATGAAGATGTGACAGCAAGGTGCTGGAGACCCGCCCACTGGGTTGTCACTGACATGTGGGTGGCAGCACTGGGGAGAGGATGTGTGTGTGTGTGTGTGTGTTGGGAGAGGAGAAGGGAACGGTAACCTCAGGCTGATTTCCTTTGCCTCTTTGGACCTTCATTTCTCCAGCGGTGAATGAAAGGGACAGACAGACCCCTGTGATAGGCCCCAAAGATGTTCTAACCGTGCCCCTGCCATCAGGGGAATGGGAGAGGAGGCGAATGTGAGGACAAGAAGTTAGAGTAAAACCTGCAAAAGCCGCATTAAGGCGGAAACCTGTCAGAGAAGGAAAATGTAAAGATTTTTTGCAAATTAGAAATAGGGAGAGACGAGCGGTAAGTTGCGCTGTCAGAGGGGAAAACTCGCGAGACCCGGATAAAGCAAAGCAGTCCCGCCGAATTCCGGCTCTCACAGGTTTTGTGATGTAATCCTGAGTGATGAGGGTGGTGGCCAAAGTCCATGCCAGGGACTCAGGGAGCCCAGCGGAGGGAGCAAAGGGTCACCTCTCCTGGGGAGGACCACAGAATGGGACTCCTCTGGGCTCCCTGTCGGGGCCTGGCCCTGGGGTGGCCTCAGGAGATGTCTGTTGAGTTAATGTTGGAATGAAGACTTGCTCCCTGTCTTCAGGGGCTTCCTAGTCTCACTGAAAGGAAGCTTTGCCCCCTTTAAGTTTCTGTTGCGTTTTGGATGAGGGTCGGTCAGAGAGACTGAGGCTCAGGCTGGACGGATTGTCTTCAGGTTCCAGACACACGCAAATCTCCACCTGTCCCATTTTACCGTTTGCCTTCAGGGTCAAGTGCAAATTCTTGAGCTTGGCGTCCCAGACCTTGCATGGTGGGACTCCCTTCTTTAGTGTAGACCAGGACTTCCCAGCCCCAGCACTGGCGATGTTTTGTGGTGGATAACTCCCATTGTAGGGGTTGGCCTGTGCTGTGCAGGAAGTTTTGTGACATCCCTAGGCTTTACACACTAGGTGTCAGTAGCAGCTCCCTCCCCAGTTGTGACAACCAAAAATGTCTCCAGACATTGCCCCATGTCCCCTGGTGGGCAGAATAGCCCAGTCAGAACCCCCAGAGCCTCTCTGAGTTCTAAGAGCAAGCTCTGTTCTTCCCTCATAGCATGCGCTTCTTCTCGCTACCTGGTTAACCCTTACTAGCCCTGCTTACCTCAGATGCCCCCTCCTAGTCCTCCCCACACCGGAAGCCCTTATGGACGCCGTAGGCTGGGTTCTCTGGGCTCCCCCATCCCATCTCTGCTCATTCTGGGTCGTCACTGTATGGGGACAGGTCTGTCTCCTGCACTGCGAGCCCCAGGCGATCAGGACTGGGGCTGTGTGGTCACCACTGTGTCCCTAGCCCAGGGCCAGGCCCCAAGCAGATATGCAGTGAGTGGGAAGAACGGATCATGAAGCAAAGGCTGGGCTCAGGTGGAATTCCCAGCAGTCTGTGAGGAGGTGCTGGGCGGTCTGGCTTCCTCCAGCCTAGGCCTCATGGGCACAGCAGCTTGCTGGGCGTCACGGCCATTGGTCCTGGGGTCTGTCTGTGAAATTGCACATGGGAGTCCCAGAACAGGAGCTATGTCTTAGTCCCCGCTGGGTCCCCCACCCGTGGGACCCAGCTTAATGTGAGTGGGACCTTGCCCCAGTACCTTGACCCAGGTAGCCTGTGCTTCTGCCAGCCAGGAGCTCAGAGCCAAGTCCCCAGCTTGGCCACTCGTTCCTTGGGTCCTGTGGCTTGAGCCTTCACACCAGGCCAGGTCCTGGGCTCGTGCTGGGGACACAGCTGTGAACCAGCTGCACCCTTGGGGCTCATGTTGTAGTTGAAGGTGCGAGTGGCTGGGAGAAACAGTATAAATGAGAAAAGTTGATGAGCATAAGTGCAGTGGGGTTAGGAAGTGAGGGCAGTGGGAGGAGAGTTGATTTGAACAGACTGGTCTGGGAAAGCCTCCCTGAAGAGGTGACATTGGAACAAAGAGGTGTGGGAGATGAGGGAGGAGCTGTGCAGACATGTGGGGGAGAGTGGGCCAGGTTAAAAACAAAACAAAACAAACCCACTGCCGTCAAGTCAGATCCAACTCACAGCAACCCCTCCTTGGGTTTCCAAGGCGGTATCTCTACTGAAGTACATTGCCCAACCTTCCTTCCAAGGAGTGGCTGGTGGATTTGAACCGCCAGCCTTCTGGTTAGCAGCCAAATGCCTCACTGACTGCACCACCAGAGCTCCTTGGTAGAGGGCACAGCAAGTGCAAAGATCCTGGGGTGGGATGTGCCTGGCAGGGCGAAGGCACAGCGAGGAGGCCAGGCTGCCGGAGCGGAGGGGTGAGGGAGAGAGGCCAGGAGGGAGCCCCGGGAGCTGTGGCGTGGACTTTGCCTCACTCCGAGGGAAGCAGGAGCCCCAGCCTCCACGTTCCCCGTTGTAGGTATCTGGCTCGGTGGCCTTTCGTCAGGGCTGAGCTGTGCACCTGGGGATGGTACAGCCATCACCACGGTCCTTTCCTTCAGAAAGTCTGCATGGTCCCTTGGGCAGTCAGTCCTTCCGCAAACCCCCACCGATGTGCTTTCTGTCTCTATAGCTTTGCCTTGGGTAAAAGTTTAGTGTAAGCAGTGGCTCCTTTTCGTTAGTGAGAGCCCTGGTGGCACAGTGGTTAAAGCGCTCATCTGCCAATTGATAGGTCAGCAGTTCGAGCCAACCAGCCCCTCCGTGGGAGAGAGATGAGGCAGTCTGCTTCTGTAAAGATGCAGCCTGGGAAGTCCTGTGGGGCAGTTGTATGTTGTCCTCCATGGCAGTGGGGCTGGTTTGGTATTCCACTGGTGAGTCACAGCAGGCTCTTCCTCCATTCACTGAAGGACATCCGGCCTTCAGTCATGCCTGCGGGCTGTGGTGAGTAGTGCTGCCGTGAACATCCATGTGCCGGCTTTTGTGTGGACGGGTAGTTTGGTTTTCCTGGGTAGATACCTAGGAGTGGAATTGCTGCTTTGGGTGACTCGGATGCATAGCGACCCTACAGGGCAGAGTAGAGCTGCCCCTTAGGGTTTTGAAGGCTGTAAATCTTTACAGAAGCCAGCTGCCTCCTCCCGTCTTTCTCCTGCAGAGTGGCTGGTGGGTTTGAACTGCCGACCTTTTGGTTAGCAGCCAAATGCTTTAACCACTGCACCACCAGAGCTCCTTCTGGTTTGGATGGCAAGTGCATATTTAACATCTGAAGGAACTGCGACTTTAACGTTCTCATCCACAGCATATGGGTGTCCCAGCTGCCCCACATCCCTACCGATACTTGTCGTCTGCCTTTTTTATTTTATTTATTTGTTTTTATTTTTGCAGTGTTTCCTCTCCTCCCCTCCCACCCCTGGTAACCAACAAAGAAAGTTTCCTTCCATATATAAACCTTGCCTTGACTTTTTACAGTAATGGACTGATGCGGTTGTCTGTCTGTTGATTGTGGTCCGCCTGGTGGGTGTGAACCACCGTTCGTCTGTCAGTGTGTCGTACTGCGGTGGCTTGTGTGTTGCTGTGATGCCACCAGTATTTCAAACACCAGCAGGGTCACCTGTGGCAGGCACGTTTCAGTGGAGCTTCCAGACTGAGACAGACCGGGAAGAAGGATGGGGCATCCACAGCTGAAGAAGTGGCCACTGAAATCCTTGTGAAGAGCAGCAAAACCTAGCCAAGACTGTGAGGCTGGCGCAGGCCTGGGCTGTGTTTTGTTCTGTTGTACGTAGGGTCGCTGTGAGTTGGAGCTGACTTGATGGCACCTAACAAGAATTCACTCAACTCACTGCCATTGAGTCTATTCCGACTCATAGTGACCCCCATTGGGCTTCCGAGGTGGTGAACCTTTATGGAAGTAGACTGCTTAGTCTTCCTTCTGTGGAGTGGCTGGTGGGTTTGAACCACCAACCTTCTGGTTAGCAGTCAAATACCTTAAACACCATGCCACCAGAGCTCCTTACAAGAACAGTGAGCGTGAAAGGAGCCCTGGTGGTGCAGTGCTTAAGCTCTCGGCTGCTAACTGAAAGGTCAGCTGTAATACCAGCTGTCTCTGCGGGAGAAAGATGTGGCAGTCGGTTCCTGTGAGAATTACAGCTTTGGAAACCCTCTGGGGCAGTTCTACTCTGTGCTGTAGGGTCACTGTGACTCAGAATGGACTTGACTGCAGTGGGTTTGGTGGGTGTGGAGTGGTTTTAATTTGCATTTCCCTTGTCACCTCCTGTCCCTATGACAAGAGCTCACCCCTGCCATTCGTTCCCTAGGGTGTGGGACAACACTGTGGCCGCCATCCTGCAAGGGACAATCAGAACAGAAGGCATGGCAGTGTTCCTCCATTGTGACAAACGACAGTGGAGGAACTCCTTGTGGTTTTAATTTGCATTTCCTGGGCGGATTCTCAGGCAAATCTGCCACCACTGTGGGAAAGAGGGACCTGGGAGTCAGCCAGATCCAGGTTCAAATCCCGGCCTGGCCTCAAGCCGCCGTTTCCTGACCTGAGAGTTTTTAGGTCCGTTGTGAATCAGCTCTGGCTGCTGGAATCCCTTCCTTGGCCTCCAGCCCCAGCAGGAGGGAGGCCAACCCTGGACAAGGGTGCCCTGCTCCTGTCTGGCCTCTGTCCCCTGGCTGCCCCCTGTTCCCACATCATCCCTTCTCCCAGCCAGAACACCCTCTCTCTCTCCTCCCTGCATGGCTGCATCTACCCCTGCCCGAGGGTCTTACCTGAGGCTCTCACCCCAACCTCAAAGGCAGCTCCTCAGGATGGCCTCCCTGACCACCCAACCCAGAGTGGGTCCCCATCCCTGTCCCCCACCCCGGTGGCTGTCACCCCCCAGCTTGTTGTCTTTGGGACACTTCTCTCATTTTCCGTTTTTAATTATCCTGTTTACGCCTCTGTGTGGGTTTCGCATTAGATCTGGTGCTCTGGGAGGGTGGGGCCCAGAGCTGTGTGTTCAGGGCACGTCCCACTGCCCTTGGGCCTGGCACACAGTAGGTGCTCAACACACGAAGGAAAAGTTTCATTCCAAAGTGGATTCAGGGCTGAGAGGTAGTGACACACCCTCCACAGGAACTATAGGCCAGGCCGTAGCCTTTTTTATAAAAGAACATTTTATTGTGTTTTCAGTGAAGGTTCACACAGCTGTGTAGCTGTTCAACAGTCTCCACACAGGTTGTTCAGTGACACTTGTCACGTTCGTCACAGTAGGGGGACAGTGCCGTGATCTGCGTTCTGATTGTCCCTTGCAGGCTGGCGGCCACAGTGTTGTCCCACACCTTAGGGAACGAATGGCGGGGGGAGCTCCTGTCATGGGGACAGGCGCTGACCTCAGCCCTCCGACACTGGCCCCGGGGCCTGTGTCCACTCCGGGGTGTTCTCCGTTGGGTGGGAGAGGTGCTCAGAGGGGTGGGATCGGGGCGGGGGTGGCGGGAACCCTCAGAAGGGTGGGCTTGGGTGGCCCGGGAGGCAGGCCTGTTGGCGAGCAGCGAGCCACCCTTTCTTGAGGGCCTTCCGGACCTGTGCTGGGCCCTGGGTGTTGCTGCCGCCCTGGCGGCTTACAGGTGGGGGTGGAGGCTGCTGGGAGGAGGAGGAGGAAGGCAGCAGTGGGTGAGGAGAGAGGCGGGAGGAAATTCCTCGTCTCGGCCAGAGGTCCAGGCCTGAGGTCCAGAGATTCCCTGGGTCCCCCATCCTTCCTGTGGTGGGCAGCCCCGTCGGCTTCCCGTCCCGCTCAGCCTGCAGCCCTCGGGCTTCCTGGGACACCTAGAACGGTGACCTGAGCTCCCTGAGCCTCCAGCTCAGCTGCCAGCGGCCGTGTTAGTGAGTGGGCTGTTGCATGCGGGGGGCCCACACTCTGGCTGGGTTCTCTGAACGCCTCACCTCCTGGACCAGAAGCCCCTGCGGCCTGGCACCAAGGAGACCCCAGCAACTGTTTGCCCAGGGAAGGGCCTTCTGGGTAAACCCAAGCCTACAGAATTTGGCACCTGTCACGTGACCCCTTCTGCGTCGTCCCAGAGCCCTCCCTGCATCCCGGGCAACGGCCCCAGGGGACAGTGGACAGTCCTGAGAACTGTCTGACACCTGTGTCCCACCCTTGTTTCTGCACTAGTCACTCCCTCTGTGGGAGCACTCTGCTTCCCTTGCTCCTGCCTCTCACGAGCCGGCTTGTTGTATTTTAGCTCTCAGCTCTGATGCCCCCTCTTCTAGGAAGCCCTCCCTGACCCCCAAGCTAGACCGGGTGCACCTCTGGCTCCTTGATCCCAGCCTTGCCTGATCTGGATTGTTGCTGTGTGGGGCCAGGGCTGCCCCTCGGTGCACTGTGAGCCCCAGGAAGGCAGGGCTGAGGCTGTCCTGGTCACCCTGTATCCCCAGAGGAGGTGCTTGGGGAGGGCTTTGATCTGGAAAGCAGCAGGCCCACCTCTCCTTCTGGGTACTTTGATTTCTTCATTCTCCCATCGCTGACCTGGCGCCTGCTCTAGCTCCGCTCTGCTGGGCCCGTGCTCGTGGGGCAGCCTAAGACAGCCCGTTGTCACAGGGCCCTCCTCACCCGACCTCTGTCCCCGCAGGTGACCAGCAATGGCAGCATCGGGAGGGACCCGCCAGCGGAGACCCAGCCCCAGAACCCGCCACCCCAGCCAGCACCCAACGCCTGGCAGGTCATCAAGGGCGTGTTGTTCAGGTGAGCAGGCAGGGCTCTTGTCTTGGTCCTTAAAAACCATTCACGTAAGAGAAGCAGGAGGACAAAAGTTAAAGTCCCCTTCAGGTGACTGTGTCACGGTCTCGGTGGCGATCCTTCACATACCCATTCAGACACCCGTTCCTGGGCGCTGGGGTGAGAGCCACCCTCTCAGAGCCCCGCCTCTGAAGTCCGGGAGACGCAGCTGTGGGGCAGAGGCTCTGTCCTGCCTGCTGAGACTTGGTGACGGTCCCCTTCCCTGAGCTGGGCCCCTGTGTGTGTCCATGTGTGTCCAAAGTACCACAAAGCAGGGGACTTACAAGAACAGACATTTATTCTCTCACAGCTCTGAGGCTGGGATTCTGAGGTCAGGGTGTCAACCATGTTGATGCCTCCTGAGGGTCTGTGGGGTCTGTTCCATGCATTTCCCTTGGCCTCTGGTGACGGCCAGTGGGCCTTGGTCTGCCTTGGCTCGTAACCGAATCCCTCCACTGCTGCAGGTCCATTTTCATAAGGACACCACTCGTTGGCTTAGGACCCACTGAACTCTGACAGTGTTTGCAAAGACCTTTTTCCCCAACAGGGTCACTTTCCTGGGTACCAGGGATTAGGGCTGCATCCCATCCTGTCAGGGCACGTGAGTCGGTCTGCAGCAGACACTTTCTTCGTTTTGGAGAGGTATCTCTGCAAAACACCAGGCCCTGTAGTCAGGCGGTCAGCTCGTGAGCACCTCCCATCAGCTGTAAGGAAGTACCCAGTGGAGTTGTTGAAAACTCTCATCCGCTCAGCCAGAGTGTCCCCACCCAGCCACATCAGCTGCCAGAAAATCTGGAAAATGGGCTTTTTTCTGGGACCCTGAGCTCCTGCTGAGAAGCAGGGGTTCTGTTACTGAGGAAGAAGAGGAAAATTGTTGAGGGTCAACAACCCATCTCTTCCAAAAGATCTTACTAGTAACTGCCCAGCAGAGGACAAATGAGGAAGGAGAGCTTGGTGGTGGCCTTTGGGGACCTACCTGTCATTGGTCCTGAATGGGATTATGGAAAGATGGTCACAGGTAGAATTGTTCAAGATGGAGAAAGATTGGAAGTCACCTCCCTGTCCAGAGCAGGGAGTCAGTTAATAATATTTGGAGAAGTAGCGTGCAGGATGTAAGAGTGAAGTCCCACCCCCGCCACCCCTGAGCCCCTCCCCTGCCTCAGTTTCCACCCGGGACTCCTGACCATCAGCTCACAGGACCGTTGAAAGAACTCGCAGCCATTTGAGTCAGCAGTGAGCACAGGACCTGGCACGTGGTTGTTTTCATAGGTAGCTTTTACTGTTCAGTGTGAAAAACCACAGAGCATGTCTCCTAGAGAGAAATAACTGAAAAAATTGCCCGTGGACACTTCCATAGTCACTGATCCCATCCTGGCGTGGAACAGAACCTTGTCTCTGCCGAGAGAGTCATACAGGACACTTGAGAAGCTGAGCAGGGAAGAAACCACCCACTGTGCCCAGCCCTGGGAGTCATTCCTGACTTTGTTTACCCCAAGCTGCTGCAACCACGGAGCCCCTGGCCCGCCCTTCCTCTGTGCCGCTGTGTTTGAATTATGACTCAGAAGTTTCTTCTGTTTCAATTCCTTTAATTCATGCTCCAAACAGCTATGATAAAGCTTACTTTTATCTCTCCTTTCTTTTTCCGTAAGAGGTAGTGTATTTTACACACTGCCCTGTACTTTGATTTTTTCCTTTAATGATAAATCTCAGAAACTTTTCCATATTACTACATGAGAGAGCTTTCTCAAGATGGGGGGTTTGAGCCGGTTCAGCCCGGTTCAGTCATGGCCAACAAAATGACACCAGAATGGACCCAAATTTTTAAAATGTTGGTGAACCAGAATGCTAACTGAACAGAAAAATGATGTGTTGAAGCCCTGCTAAAAACTTAATCTCACTCCAGAAAACAAGGGCAGTGTGCACGTTGCATAGCAACCAAGTCTCTTGAGTGACTGAGTCCAAACAGTGGTGCCCGGCTCAAAGATGACTGCCGACTGCCACTTTGAATGAGTGTCACTCCCCACAGCCCTGGCACTGGTCTAGCCTCCCACATCAGGCTCCTGAAAGGGCTCACGAGGCCTCGTCTAAGTCTCCCATCCCACGGCTTTGACCCATGATTTTTCCTGTTCTGGTTAGCGTTCCTGATCACCCAGATTTTTAAACATTGAGTTTGTTCCTGTTTTGCTTCATCAGCTGTGACTGAAGCTGTCCGAAGCCCTGCTTAAGACAGATGTTTTTAATACAGCCGCAAATGCCAGCTCATTTCCTGCCTTAGAGCTGTTGGTGTTAGCTGCCTTTGAGTCAGCCACCCCAAGCACAACAGAATGACACGCTGGCCTGGTCCTGCACCGCCTCCATCACTGGCTCCGGGGTGACTCTTGTGAGGTGTAGGGTTGGCACAGGCTGATTTTCAGTAGATTGCCAGGCCTTTCTTCCTCGTCTCTCTCAATTGGGACGCTCTGCTGGAACCTGTTCAGCATCATAGCATCATACAGGTTTCCACTGACGGACGGATGGAGGCTGCACGTGAGGTGCACTGGCTGGGACTCGAACTTGGGTCTCCTGTGTGGGAGGCAAGAGTTCAGTGACCGACCCACCCCTGCCCCGTTCTTTGACTCGGATAGCACCAAACACCACATTGGGTGGGTGCTCAGAGACCGTCTCACATGGCGTCCTTAAGACGGGACTCGGGGTTTGTATTCAGGGCCCCTTGAGCTCCACGAAGAAGCTTCAAGCAGAGTAGGGGAGAATAGGCTTTTTCACGGGCCAGGTGCTGTCCGTGGCTTTGAGCACATCCTCAAGGAATTAACACTGGTAGTTACCTGGGTGGCCCGAGCAGTTCCAGGCTCAGCTGATGGCTGACAGGCTGGCAGTTGGAACCCACCAGAGGTGCCTTGGAGGAGAGACCGGGTGATCGGCTTCTGAAAGACCTCAGCCTTGGAAAGCGCCTGGCGCAGCTCTGCCCTGCACACGTGGGGTTGCCTGGAGCGGGGTCGCTGAACAGCAGCACAGTTCCCGGCGGTGGGGAGCGGGGTGAGAACCAGGCAGCTGAGCGGGTGGGGTGGAAGGGAGAGTTTTCATAATGTATCTTTTCACAGAAGTTTTCAGTTTCTCCACCATGGGAATGTGGAATACGCATTTAGGATGGATGTGTGTGGTATTTAATACCTGTTTAGTTTGCTTACCCAGATGAGTTGGAAAGCATTAGGGAGGTCTGGTCCCCTGCAGGCCCCACATCCTGGAGCAGGGCTGCCTGACCCTGGGCCGCACGAGTGGCCAGGAGGGTCTGTGAGTGGTACACGGAACTGTGGGCCGGTGGCTACGCACAGGCAGTATTCAGGAGATAGAGGGGATCGAGAACCTTCCAGAAGTCTGGTCTTGCCCCCTTGCCTCCCACGCAGGCAGCCAGAAGCCCAGGGGACGTGGGACACCCCCTCCCCCCAGGCCACACACTAAGCCAGAGACAGAGCTGCTTGTGGGTGTCCCTGCTCCCAGACTCTTCCTCAACTTAGTTACTAAAATGAGAACCTGTCTTGGAGGTGGAGGGGTCCCCAGAGAGCACCGGTTCCAGGCCTTGCCCAGCCATGCACAGCAGGGAGTTCCTGGGGAAGCAGCAGGGGCTCAGCTGGGCCTTGGCCCCTGAGCCCCTAGGTGCGGGGCCCCGTGGTTTCTGCAGGCCGGGGCAGGTCCCCGCGCCGATCCTGTGTTCCAGGGCCCAGCACGGTGGCGCTCCCCCACACGAGAACTCCCTCCTAGTATTTTTCCACTCCACAGTTTTTTGAATGTCTTTTTCCTAGGAAGAAAAAACTAACAGTAATAGCTAATACTTGGAACATACTGTATCTTTCAGGCTTTGATCTTTACACGTTTGAACTTTACATCTATCAGTATATTTGATGTTTATCAACAACCCTGTGAAGTAGGTGCTGTTATTATCCCTGTTGTAACAGATAAGGCAACAGAGGCCCAGAGAGGTTAAGAGTCTTGCTCAACGTCACACAGTAAGCGGCAGAGCTGGACTTCAGATCTGGGTATTGTTTAGAGGCTGGGCTCTGAGCTACTGCTCAGCCGGTGCTGTATTGCCTTTCATCTCTGTAATTAATAAGTAATTGGGTCATTTGTTAATTACACAGTGGTATGTATCTGAAAGACATGAATGAACACGACACAAGCTTATTTCTCTCTCCTGTACCAGTGTGGGCGTTGGCACACCAGGAGTCTGCAGTCTTATTCCAACATCTAGATGGTGTCCCTTGTCCTCATGGCCTGAGGTGGCTGCTGGAGATCCAGCCGTCACATCCAGGCAGCAGGAGGAGGAAGAAATCAAGAAGGGACATTTCTTCTCTTTAAGGACACTTCCCCAAAGCCCCATGTAACACTTCTTTTTTTTTAAAACATCTTATTCACCAGAACTTCACCCTGTGTTCCCTCCCAGTATAAAAGGGAGACTGGAACTGTAGTCTGTATTCTGGGTGGCCACGGGGTCCAGCTGAAAGTCAGGAGGTCAGGAGTGTTCTTAAGGAAGGGGAAGAGGAAGATGCTTTTAGGAAACAGGTAGCTGTCTGCCTCAGCTTTGTTTGGGGATTTTGTATTGTCATTGGGAAAAAAAAAAAAATCAAACAAGAGAAGGGTAAAGAGGACAAGAATCCCTGAAAGGTGACCCCGTCACTGTGTGGGCCTGTGAGCCTTTGGCGGCCTGTGGGCCTTTGACGTGTCGGTTCCTGCGTGTGTTTTATCGTGCGTGTGTCTCAGTGCCGCGTGTCTCAGTGCGTGCATCTCAGTGCCGCGTGTTTTTATTTGGTGGTGTTTGCTTCTCCTCATGTCTGCTCCTTCCCCTGCTGCCCTGAATCAGAGGAAACCATTGTAAAGTCTGATGTTCAGCATTTCATACTTTTCTGTGTTTTCATAAGGAGACGTGCAAACTGTGTGTGTTTATTGTGCACTTTTTTAGACATCATTTATTACACAACATGGCGTCACGTTCTCCGTTGCCCCACACCTTGCTTTTCTCTGTTCACAGTACATCTTGGAAATACCTTCCAGTAACTACAGTTCTAAGACTAATGCTAGGTTTATTCAGTGCTATTGGGCATTGAGGAAGTTATTCTAAAAGGTTGGTTTTCACTCAGATCATGTTTCTGTTGCTCTTTTTCTGTTACTCTGGATAAGGATGCTTCTGAAACTCTCTTGATACAGATTCCGAGGACTTGATAACAAATTCCGAAACAGCAGAACCCCATCGTTCTGAGCTTCTGTCATTTGGTTCCTGGTGCCGGGTTTCTGTAATGGTTCTCTCTTATACTGTCTGTTTCCTTGTGTGCCTGCATGACCTTGGACTGTGTGTAGGTCATGACCTTGGACTGTGTGTAGGTCTTTACCTTTGAACCCTTATCGTGGGAATAATTTCATACCTCGCTGGAAGAGACTCCTTCCTTCCCGTTCCCAGCCAGCCCCATAACCTCTTGCCTCTATGCATTTGTCCGTTCTAGATTTGTCCTGTGAGCGAGATCACACAATATCTGCTCTTGCATTTGCTGGCTGCCTGGGGGCATTAGCAGAAGGGGGTCTCCTCACACCAGGTCCACGGCTTACGATCCCTGTATCACTCTGGCCACGTGCCTGGGGAGTTCTCCTGGGGAGAACTGGTCCACGTCTGGTTTCCTGTTGGGGTCTTAGCTTCCAGTAGAACGGGTCTTGGGGTACCAGTTACGGGTTGTGGGCTGGTGTTTCTCTCACTTGTGAAAGTTTTTAGTGGATGCCCTTTACTTTTTGGAGTTTGTTTTCCCTTCCGTTTTGCCTAATACATCTTCAGTCTGTCCATTCTTCAGTGCTTTTAAGAATATATGTATTTACCTGTGAGTGCCATTAAAAATGCATGTCAGAGAACACACACGAGAATTCCTAAGTGATACATGTTCTTACTGTATCCAGACACAGAAGATATGTTTTATATGTTTTTTAATTGTGGATTTGCCACCTTCACCTTTTTGTTTTTCCATTTGAACCATTTTTTGAAAAATTAATGTATTTATTGTGATTTGGGTGAAACTTTACAGAGCAGATTTGTTTTCTGTTCAACAGTTGCTCCACATTTTGTTTTATAACATTGATTCCAGTCCCCACAGTGTAACAGCTCTCTTCCCACCTCCTCCCTGTGGTCACCTCTTCCCTGTGTCCTTCTTTCCTGTGCTTTTCTGCCCTCTAAGCTGTCTCATAGCTTTTATTTTTCTTCCCAGTTTTTATTGTGATCTGGGTGAAAGTATACAGAGCAAATTCATTTTCTGTACAGCAGTTCATAAACGCTGTGTTAAAGGACATCGACTGCAATCCCCACAGTGTAACGGCTCTCTTCCCACCTCCTCCCCATAGTTACCTCTTCCCTGTGTCCTTCTTGCCTGTGTATTCCTGCGCCCCAAGCTGTCTCCTTGTGCAAACACTGCCCTTCTGTTCTCCCACGTTCTAAGGAGTGTATCTACCTGATATAGATATTCACCATCTGTGCCTGTCTGTTATTTGGTGGGAAGCCACGGGAGTGAATTCAAGTCCAGACCTGAATGGTAACTAGGGGCCATAGTCTTGGGGACATCTTAACCATTTTTAAGTGTTCACAATTCAGTGACATAAATGACATTCACAGTGCTGCCAACCATAGCATCACTTTTTATTCCTGCACTTTTTCATCTCCTCAGAGACTCTATGCCCGTGAAACAGTAACGTCCCACTCCCCTCTGTTCCCAGCCCCTGATCACCTCTTAGCCTCTTCTGTCCCTACACGTTTTGTCTGTTCTAGATATTTCCTATTAGTGGGTTCATACAATATCTGCCCTCTGATGTCTGACTTCTCTCACTCGGTGTCATGTTTTCAAGGCTCAGCCATGTCCTAGCATGTGTCAGGACTTTATTGCCCTTTATGGCTGAATAGTACTCCATCGTGTGGAAGGACCACGGTGATGGACATTTGGGTGGTTTCTGTCTTTTTGCTTTTGGAGAAGATACATTCTTTTTTTAAAAAATACTTTACTGTGTTTTCCGTGAAGGTTTACGCAGAGTGTAGGTTCCTATTCAACAGTTTCTGTGCTGTTCAGTGGCACTGGTTAGGTTTCTCACAGCGCGTGAACGTGCTCATGGCTCCCACTCTGGTTGTTCTGTTTCCATTCATCTAGTTTCCCTGCTCCCTAACATTCTCTCATTTGTTTGAAAGTCATTGGTGACCGTTGGGGCTTTTCTGGTTGTTTTCAGCAGGAGAGCTGGTCTGAATAACCTAGCCCACTGCAAGTGAGATAGGAACTAACCCATTACTTGGCATCTGCTTCTCCGGTTCCTAGGTTGACCTGAAAGTTCTGAAATGGTTCTTTCTTGGGTTTGGTGCCTCGGACATGCTGGGGCTCCAGATTGTGGGGATTCTCTCACTGTGGGGTCCCAGGCGCTGGCATGTTGGGTCTGGGGTTCAAGGGTTAAGGCCTGTAACTCCTGGAGGACTCAAATGGAGCTCTGCAAGGAGTCCGGGGCAGCGCCAGGCCCCCACACCGGGCAAATGTTGGTATTTGGGGTCCCTCCCAGGACGTGGTCTTTGACTCACTCCCTGGGGTGTGTGACTCAGTCTCTCTCCCTGAAAAGTGGGGGTGCAGCTAGGCTTCCCTGCACGCCTGCAGCTGCCTTCTCAGGGCCCCTCCTCCACGTGGGTGCCGAGTCAGAGAGCACAGGTGCCCTGTGGAGGATGGGGACATCGGGACTCACCACCTGCCACTTCCCTCCTCAGGATCTTCATCATCTGGGCCATCAGCAGCTGGTTCCGCCGAGGGCCGGCCCCTCAGGACCAGGCGGGCCCCGGAGGAGCCCCACGCGTCGCCAGCCGCAACCTGTTCCCCAAAGACACTTTAATGGTAACCGTGGGCGGGAGGCCAGGCACGGCACTGGTGGGGGTGGGGTAGGGATACGGGCCGTGGGATCAGATGAGGCCCCTGGCTGCTGCCACATCCAGGAACACAAGCTGGGACTGAGACCCTCGGGGTCCATCAAGGCAGAAGAAACCTGTGTCCCCCAGCTACCCCCACAAGGAGGAAGCACACTCTTCCGGCGCTGTGGTGGTCCCTTGTGGGAAGGGGGCTGTCGGAGGTTTGGTTTCGTTCAACTGTTTGAAAACCACATTAACAGATCCTCAGACGTTTTATTTCAAAGTATGTTTGGGCTTTAAAAGTTGCAAAGGAAGCGTGAGAGGTGGCAGGAAGGAAAGGAAGGGAATGGAGGGAGAGGGGCGAGGAGGGGAGGGGAGACTGATGGAGGGGGGCAGCATGAGGGAGAAGGCGGTTTGTGCAGCCTGGGAGCCTCCACAGCCTCTCTGCAGCCCCACTATACAGCGGTTCCCGCCCCCGCGGTTCCCTGCACGGGAGCGTGTGTTCCCCAGCACCCTGGGGAGTCCTGGTCTGCAGGTGGCCGCTGCTCGGCTGTTCTCTATCAGTGGGCCGTCAGCCCTCTGAACAGAGGCCGTGGGAGCCTGAGAAGGGAGGACAGCCCCTCCTGGGCCATGCCTCCCACCTCTCCTGTGTCCCAAGTCACCGGCTGACACGGTTGTGGCTCTTGACTGCTTCATCCCTAATCCTGCAGCGCGGTGACCTGAGAGGCCAAGAAGAGAGAAGGTGCTTCAGGGACGTCCTGCTCCTTTCGACGCCCAGTGATGCAGAGGGCTGTTCCCTAGCTGTGCTCTGCTCACGGACTTCCCTGGGAGCTCTGGTGGCATGGTGCCTAAGGCATTTATCTGACTGCTCACCAGAAGGCTGGCGGTTCAAACCCACCGGCCACTCCTCAGAAGGAAGACTAGGCAATCAGTTTCTCTAGAGATAACTGCCTCGGAAACCCAAGGAGGGGTTGCTGTGAGTCGGATTCGACTTGACGGCAGTGCGTTTGGTTTCTGGTGTTTTTTCACAGACTTCCTAGGCTCAGACTAGGACACACGTGGTGGGAGGAGAAAGGAGGAAATGGAAACCACCCGCCGCTGGTCTTCTCCCCGCCAGCCCCTGCCCGCCCGCGGAGCACACTGTCCATGTTGGCGCGCCGGCCAGCGCTCTTCATCTGCTCTCGACCTGTCGGCCTCCAGAGGCTCTCTGGTGTCCTGAGCTCTGTCTCCTGTCCCCCCACCAGAACCTGCACGTGTACATCTCGGAGCACGAGCACTTTACAGACTTCAACGCCACGTCGGCCCTCTTCTGGGAGCAGCAGGACCTCGTGTACGGCGACTGGACAAGTGGCGAGAACTCAGACGGCTGCTACGAGCACTTTGCTGAGCTCGACATCCCGCAGGTGGGGACGCCTCCTGATTTCCTGCCCGAAGGCGGCCTGAGTCCCACTGATGGCCTTTCCTCCAGGCACAGCCGTGCCCTTGGCTTACACATGACGTGACCACCAGCAGGCCGTTGAGGTCTCTGAGCCTTGGCCGCCCCACCTGGAAAACATGGGTGGGGTTGGAATTGACCTAGGATTCTCCCCACTTCTTCCAAGGTTTAAACCAGTGAGAGGCTAGCCATTGTCCTTGTTGGCATTCAGTCAGCACCACTTTGTTAGGCAGCTGTGTTTCAAGTCCTATGAATATGGATTGAGCACTTACTGTATGCAGGGTGCTAAGCCAAGGCGTGGACTCCATCCAGCGACCCTGTGATGTGGGAGCTGTTAGGATTCCCACTTGACCGATTGACTGATGAGGAAACAAAGGCACAGAGAGGTTAAGTGGCTTACTCTAGGTCACACAACTGGTGAGTGATTTGTACCCAGGCTGCCTGGCTCTGGATTCTAGCAGCCCCGGGTTCAAATCCTGGCTCCTCCATGGTCCGTATGGCAGTATAGACAATGAGCTTTACCCTTCATCTGGAAAATGGGACCACGTGACAGGGTGGGGTAGGGCTGCTGTGAGCTCCAGCAGTTGACAGTTTCAGCTTGTGGAGGACACTCTACATGGGAGAGTGCTTAGGTTTCGGGCCCAGGAGGATGAAGAAAGGCCACTCCCCCACCGCCCCTGAGCTCTGCGCTGGCAGAGCCAGACTCAGGCCTGTGAGGGGGAGCTCGGAGCGGGACTTCGGGGTTTGCAGGCTGCTTCAGATCTGTGGCCAGAGGGCTTGGCTGCCACCGTCCCAGAACGCTGGATCACGGAATGCCTGGTCAGCCCCGGCCCCTCTAGAGGCAGCCCCTGCCTGCCGGGCAGGACCTTGTGCAGGCAGGCGGGGTGCAGATGGGGGCTCCCCCTTGATGGCTGAGTCCTGCCTCTGCTGGGCCGGGTGCCTAGAGGCCGAGGGGAGTCGGGTTTTTGTGTTCTCTGCTCTCTGCTCCTTTGTACCTAGAGGGTCACTGTGAGGTGGTGTCGACTTGGTGGCAGTTAGTTTGGTTTGGTTTTACTGCTCGAAATCCTCTCCACCTGTCCAGCTCTTATTTCTCTTGAAGTTTCAGCTCCACTGGCTCCTCCAGGAAGCCCTCCCTGATCCACACCAGGTCAGGGGCCTGCTCTGAGCCCCCATGGCCTCCTTGGTGCCCCACCCCAGCCCTGCCCACTCTGGGACGTCACTCTCTGGTGATGGGTCTGTGCCCCCTGCTATACTGAGCTCTGTGAGAGCAGGGCAGGGCTGTCTGGGCCCCTGCTGTGTCCCCAGCACTGCCCGGCGTGGGACCAGTGCAGAATTGGTGACCGGTAAACTGATGAACAAGGGAGAGGGACGTCTCACGTCTCGCGGGGCTGTGCAGGCCTGTGCCCAAGACAGCCAACCTCTCACTCGTTCTCATGGGTGGGGGCAGTCTGGGTTTTTTTTTTTTTTTTAGTTTTCATTATGATTTAGGTAAAAGTTTACAGAGCAAATTCGTTTCCCATACAGCGGTTCATACACATTTTGTTTCGTGACATTGACTGCAATTCCCCACAGTTAACAGCTTTCTTCCCACTTCCTCCCTCTAGTTACTTCCCTGTGTCCTTTCCCGTGCACTCCTGCGCCCTGAGCTGTCTCTCTGTACATACACTGCTCTTCTGACTCCCATGGTTCATTGCTCTAAGGAGTGTATCTGCCTGATGAAAATGTTCACCCATATGCCTGGCTGTTGTTTGGCTGGAAGCCACAGCACCTTCAGTTTCGACCTGATGGGTCACTGGGGACCATCGTCTCAGGGGTCTCACCAGCTTTTATTAGACCAATAAGCCTGGTCTTTTTTTATGATTTTGAGTTTTGTTCCACATTGTTTTCCTACTCTATCCAGGATCTCCTGCACTGATCCCTTTCTGAGTGGTTGATGGTGATAGCCGGGCACCATCTTCTGGTCTCATGGTCATATAGGCTGAGTGTCACATGGTCCACTAAGCCTCTTGGGCCAGAGGACAGTCTGTCCTACCCTTAGCTGCTGTCAAGTCAACGCCTGACTACTGGTGAGCCCAGGCACAGCAGAACGAAACGCAGCCCAGTCCCACACCATCCCCATGACCCGCTGTGGATCAGACTGTTACGGTCCCTGAGGTTTACGTGGGCTGATTTTTAGAAGTAGGTCACCAGGCCTTTCCTCCTCGTCTCTCAGTCTGGAAGCATCTCTGAAACCTGCTCAGAGTCACAGCACACATAGGCCTCTACCGACAGACGGCTGGTGGCCGTGGGTGAGGTGTGCTGGCCGGGAATAGAACCCGGATCTCTAGCATGGAAGGCAAGAATTCTCCCATGGAGAAGGAAGGGCTGCTTATGCACAGGGAGATAGCTCAGGGTGCAGAAGAGTATGAAGGGATGGACACTGGGAGGAGGTAACTATGGGGAGGAAGTGGGAGGGGAGCTGCTGCATTGTAAATTTTGGTCAATGACATGAGACAAAGTATATGTGAACTGCTGTATGAAAAGTGAATTTACTCTGTAAATCTTCACCCAAATCCTAATAAAAAAAATAAAAAATAAAACAGTCAAGCTTCAAAAAAAAAGAAAAAGAATTCTCCCATGAACCACTGCTGCCCCATCTCCGTCCTAAAAACCAAACCATACCCACAGCCATCAAGTTGATTCTGACTCACAGCACCCCTAGAGGACAGAGTACAACTGCCCCATAGCATTTCCAACACCTTAAATCTTTACGGAAGCTGACTGCCTCATTTCTGCCCTGTGGAGCAGCTGGTGTATTTGAACTGCAGACCTTTTGGTTGCCGCCGAGTACTTTAACCATATCACCACCAGGGCTACTACCTCATTGGATTAAAGAACAAAAACCAAACTCAGTGCCATGGAGTTGTTTCCAACTCAGCGACCCCTGTTGGGCTCCCCATTGGGTTTCCGAGGGTGTAAATCTTTACAGAGGTAGATCACCCGGGCTTCCTTCCGCAGAGCAGCTGGTGGGTTTGAGCTGCTGACCTTCTGGTTAGCAGTCAAGTGCCTTACCCTCTACGCCACCAGAGCTCATTGGACGGGGGGTTAATATTTCACATGCCTCGGTCTGCATGTAATTAGGCTCTGTGTTGATCCTCATCTTATTTGATGAGTTAAGGTCGCAACGTTTACTGAGCTCTCATTCTGTGCCAGACCCCATGCCAGATCCCTTCTCAGTGGTGCTCTGAGGTCACCACTGTCATTACCTGCTTTCTCCAGGTGGGGCACTGAGGCTCAGATGGGGACGCCTGAGGTCACACAGCTCTTAGGTGCCTCTGGGAGGGTGTGTGTCAAGTCCTGTGTGATGCCAGTGTTTTGTTCTCCTCCACTGAGCTACCCTGCCCGCCCTCAGCACTCCATAAATGGCGGAGAATTGAGGGGCTGTCACGAGCGGCCTCACTATTCCCTTGTCCCATCCGGCCCACTCGTCTCTTGCAGAGCGTCCAGCAGAACGGCTCCATCTACATCCACGTCTACTTCACCAAGAGTGGCTTCCACCCAGACCCCCGGCAGAAGGCCCTGTACCGCCGGCTCGCCACCGTCCACATGTCCCGGAGTAAGTGCTCCCTGTAGCCCGGCCACTGTCCAGGCACTCAGGGCCCTGGGAGCCCACGTCCAGGCTGGAGTGGTGGGCACCACATCCCAGGCTCACAGGCAGGGCTTATCAGGACGATCACCACCCCACTGCCCTTTGTGACCCACGTGGGCTGACTTGTGAACATCCAGCAGGTGGGTGCCCAGAGGAAGGGCTTGGTGATGGTGGCGGAATCAGCTTAGAAACAGCAGGTGGAGAAGGGAGGGGCTTGTGCAGGAAAGGAGGCTGTGTTCTTCAAAGCAGAAGGCCTAGGTACACGGTATATAGAAACAAATGTGCAAAGAGCTTATGAATGAAGGAAAGACTGATTGGATGGGCAGAGGAGGCGGGGGGACCTTCCATAGGGAAGGTGAGCTCTGTAGCTGCATTGGTGTCAACTCCGCCCTCTCGAACCTGCGTTCCCTACACACCTGCCCCAGAAACGGGGTTGACATCTGCGTGAGTGTTCCATAGAACATGCTCCAGCTGGCCCATTGGCAGGGCCTACATGGCTGTGCAGCGAGCCCTTGGACCCTGCCTAGTTGGAGGAATGTGGTCTCCCCCTGCAAAGCTGCCCTCTGCACTCATGCCACCTGGCTCCTGGGTGGTGTTGGACGTTCAGCACGAGGATCGTGATGGAGTGACCAACCCCTGGGACCTGCCAGTGGCCTGAGAAGCCCTGGATCATCCCTTGCCATTTCTAACTCCTGACATGCCCCCATATCAGGTTTTCTCTACCTCGGTCACCTTGTTCAACATTTTTTATGTTTGATGACAACGTACATGGTTTAACATTCAAGTAATTCAGCGAGACAGTGAAAAACTGAGCAGTTTCCTGTCCACTCTTTTCTACGCCCTTGTCCCATCCCCTTTGGGCAGCTGCTTTCAGACCCCTCAGCTGGTCCCTCTACCACCGTGGGTCCACACTTCGGTCCACAGGTTGACACGGGGAGGTCTTGGTTCCTCAGTGTCCGATGGTCTCAGTGATGTCGTGCTGCTGTAGCAGGAGCACCGCACAGCTGGCTTTGCAGACTTTTTCTCACAGCTCTGGAGGCTCGGAGCCCAAATCAGGGCTCAGCTGTGTCGTTTCCCTCTGGGAGCTTCGCTCCTGGTTCGGATATCTGCTGGCAGTCTTGGGCGTTCCTCGGCTTGTGGATAATCCTCACGTGGTGTCTGTCTTCTGTGTGTGTGTGTGTCTAATATGCCCTTTTTATAACTCAGATGTGATTGGGCTTAGGCCGCTCCTACACTGGTATGACCTCAGCTGCTTGACTGCATTGCATTAGATTGCACTATGGAAAGTGATTACATCAGATGGTATGATAGGCAGTCCCTGGATTACAGATGAGATCTGTTCCTAACTGCGTCTTTACGAGTTTGTCAGTCATGGCCAAGGAAGCGTCACCAGAATAGACCTGACTTTTAAAGTGAGGGTGAACCCGAAACAGCTGGAATGAGAAAAATGACCGGTTGAAGCCTCTAGAACCTCAGTCTCCCTCTTACGGAAGATGGGCAGCGCACGTGCCGCAGAGCAGCCAAATCGCTTGCCGCGTGTGAGCACGGTCTGAAGCACGCTGCCCTGCTTAAAGATGGCCACCGGGCCTGCCGCTTTGTCTGTCGCCATCCACAGTCCTGCCGGTGATCCCGTCTCAGCATCAGCCTCCTGAAAGGGCTTGCAACTTTTTTTCTGAATCTCCCATTCCAGGCCTTCAATGCGTGATTTTTCCCGTTCTGGTTACTGTTCTGAATCTACCAGACTGTAAAACTTCCAGTCTGTTCCCAGTTCACTTGTTGGCCGTGACAGAACCAGGTTAAAGAGCAAGCAGTTGTTGTCTGTAAGTGGGACGTTGGTGACACGGGGCCTGTTACGGAGTCCTGGGCAGTACAGTTATACGTGGTCTGCTAACCAGGAAGGTGGGCGTTTGAGTCCACTGAGGTGCCTTGGAGGAAAGGCCTGGCAATTCACTTCTGAAAAACCAGCTGACTGTGTCAGAGTAGCACTGCCTGACACCCGTGGGTTGCCATGAGTTGGAATCAACTTGGTGGCAGTTGGTAATTGTATCACATGACATTGCATAGGTTGTTATGGCAGGTAATCTGCTCTATCTGATGCCAGCTGATTTAATCACAGGTAACCGCTCCACACGGAGTCCCCAGGTGGCACAGATGGTTACGCATTTGACTACTGACTGAAGGGTTGGCGGTTTGAATCCACCCAGAGGGGACTCAGAAGTAAGGCCTGGCAATCTACTTCCAAAAAACCAGCCACTGAAAATCCCGTGGAGCATGTTTCTAGCTGACACACATGGAGTCACCTTGAGTTGGAATCGACTTGATGGCAACTGGTCTTTTTGTTTGTTTGTTTATTTGTTTACTCCATGATGCTGACTGGTGTTTGGCCAAACCATTGGGACCCCATGGCCCTGCCCGTACACATAAAATTAACCATCATATACGTATTACCTGTTGACTTCCTGCTTCAGAAGAGGAAATCCCTCCAAGTACAGGAAAGTACCACGAGTCAGTGATTTTAAAGAACAAACCAAACCATGTATTGCATTGGGCACATCTGCAAAAGACCTGAAAGTATTAAAAAGCAAAAATATCACTTTGCAGAGTAAGGTGTACCTGACCCAACTCATGGTGTGTTCAGTTGCCTCACATGCTGGGAAAGCTAGAGGATGAGTAAGGAAGACTGAAGAAGAATTGATGCATTTGAATTGTGGAGTTGGAGGAGAATACTGAGTATTCATGGATGGCCAGATGAATGACTAAATCTGACTTGGAAAAGGTGCAACCAGAATGCTCCGCAGAAGTGAGGATGGTAAGACAGCGTTCTCATGTACTTTGGACATGTTCTCAGGAGGGACCAGTCCTGGAGAAGGACGTCATGCTGGGTAGAGCAGAGGGTCAGTGAGAAAGAGGGTGATCCTCAATGAGACAGGCTGACACAGTGGCTGCCATGATGGGCTCAGACACAGCAGTGAAGACGGGCTGACACAGTGGCTGCCGTGATAGGCTCAGACACAGCAGCGATCGTGAGGATTGTGCAGGGCCTGACAGTGTTTTGTTCTGTTGTACGTGGGATCGATGTAAGTTGGAATCAACTTGATAGCACCTAACAGCGACAAATTTACCCACATTTTTTTCTTCCAAGGTCTTTATAGTTTTAGAGTACAGATTTAGGTCTTTGATCCATCTTGAGTTAGTTTTTGTATATGGTATGAGATATGGATCCTGTTTAATTTTAAGACTGTTGGAATTTTGATGGAGATTGTATTGAGTTTATAGATTGCTTTGAGTAATATTGACTACTATATTAAAATTTCTGATCCCTGAAAGTAAAATATTCTCCCATTTATTTAGATCTTCTTTCATTTCTCTTAGTAATGTTTTATAATTTTCTATATATAGGTCTCTCACCTTCTTGATTAAATTTATTCCTAGGTACTTGGTAATTATCGGTGGTAATGTTTCCTTAATTTTCTCATCTGATTGCTCATTGCTGATGTATAGAGACCCAATTTATTTTGTGTGTTGACTTGAACCCTGCCTCTTTATTGAATTCTTTTATTCTAATAGCTTTCTTGTGGAATCTTTGGGGTTGTCTATGTGTAAGATCACTTCATCTGTGAAATGGGGTAGTTTGGCATCCTTTCCTACTTCTTTTGGCGTTAAAATATCCTAAAGAATGATAACTTTTTCAATGTCATCTACATGGATGAAACAGAAAGCTGATGCCTCTTTGTTCTTTGGCTTTTGCAGTGTAGTAAATTACATAGTGTGGCTTTTCTAGCCATAGTCTTTGTAAACCCTGTGGTGAATTTGCTGTGAGCAACTGAGTAGCTCCTGATTGTTAAAGTTACCCACCTGGGGTATTTCTGTGGGGAGCAGCATGGAGTAATTTTCTGGGAAGTTTGCTGTCTCTCAGGTGTGTAGAACTCTGATGTTGGGATTGGTTGGTTTGGCCACTCTGCCAGGCTGAAAAGGAGCCCTCCTGGAGGCAGAAAGAGTCTCTCTGACTGCTGGCTGAGAAAGGCGTGCTCCCGAGAGACATGCGCTCCTGAGAGACATGCACTTGTTGAGAAAGAGACGTGAGAGACATGCACTGCTGAGAGAGAGATGTGAGAGACACGTGCTGCTGAGAGAGGGACTGCTGGCTGCTAAGTGAGATGGCTGCCTGTGAGAGACTGAGTGCATTTCTGAACTTGAATTGTAGCCTGTTGCTTCCCTAATAAACCCCGTAATCTGTGAGTTCTGTGTGGCCACTGCATTAAATTATCAAACCCAGCAGAGAGGTGGTGGGTGCTGTGGGAGGAATGGTTGGTGTCAGAGTTGGTGAAAGGGCTGGACGGAGGCAGCATGTCTGGCCTTGCAAGGGTAGGCCTTGGGCTACTGGTTCTGTCTTCCTCTTGTGGGGTTAGAGGAGGTCCGAAGACGTGGCCTCCATGCCTCTTTGGCAACTTTGAGGAGTCACCTGGGGTCTGGCAAGCAGCATCCTGAGCGAGTATGTCTGAGTAAACGTGTCCTGTGGGACATTCTGCTTGTTGACATTTGGAAAGTGAAATCTGCGAAGCTTGTTCTGGGCCGAGGTGAGCTGAGGGGGTGTGGGGTGCAGGGCGGTCCCAGGGGACGTCTGCCTGCAGGTGAGCTCTGTCAGGGGTTTGGTTTGCATGAACCGGATGCCTCAGAGGTTGCCCTGAAGTGAGCTGGCTGGTTGGCCGGTTTGTGGCATCTTGTGCTGTCTGTGTGTGTGTGTTTTATGAGCCCGTTGGTATAAAATGCCCAGAGTAGGCAGATCCGTGTTGTGGTTGTCATTGTTGGTTGCTGTCAAGTCGACTTCAGCTCCTCGCAGCTCCGTGTGACTGAGGAGACCTGCCCTGTAGTGTTTTCTAGGCTGTCATCTTGATGGGAGCAGACAGGTGCCAGCCTTTCCTCCTGCAGAGCCACTGGCTGGGTTTGAACTGCCAGCCTTTCAGTGAGCAGCCAAGTCCTTATCTGTTTGTGCCACCAGGGCTCCTTAGGCAAATCTGTAGAGACAGACGGTAGATTAGTGGTTGTCTAGGGCGTGGGGTGGGGTGGGCTGTGACCACCACTGTGATTTTTGTCAAGGGTCAGTGTGAGAGGTTGTGCTGTGGGTAGATGAGGCGGATAGCCGTGTGCTCTGCAGTTAGGACGAGCACCATAGTTATCCAGCCCTCCCTCCCCAGCCACGGCTCTGGGACCGCTCAGGTGGGGTCTCTGAAGGGCTAAAGACCACCTGACAACTGCTGGACCAAGAACAAGCGTGTGGAGTCAGAGAGCCCCCTCCCATCCCAGCATGCCTCCCACCCAAAGGGCTGGGGTCAGTGCTCGAGAGCAGCCACAGAAGAAGTTTGAAATGTGTAGCAGCCACGTGGACCACATGAACAGCAGCTGTGAAATTAACATGAATCCCGTACTTCATTGAACCCAGTATGTTACCATCTCAACCTGTGCTCCATGTGAGGCCTTGTTAGTAAGATATTTTATGTTTGCTCCTCCAGCACTGAGTCACTGGAATCTAGCGTGTGTCTGCCTCCCGGCTCGTGTTGGCTGGCACTGTCAGCTGGTACTGGCCGTGTTTCCAGTACTTGGGAGCCGGGCAGCTGCCACCGTGATGTGGCCACTCTGATTTCACTGAGAAGGGGCTCCCTCCTCCCACAGTGGCCTCTCGTGTTATAGTCCTGTCAGGATGCCGCCAGGTTACAGGAAGGCTCGTGCCTGTGCTCTGCCCGCCTTCCCCTCCCGCCCGTCTGCTGTCCCTGAGGTGCTGCCCAGCACAGCTGTGCCGCCTTCCCAGGCAGCCTCGCCCACATGGAGAACAGCGCTGAGCAGGTCCCCCCAGGTGGTGTTCTCCAGGATGCCCACCCTTGGTTGGTTCCTGCCCACCACGGACCCGGGGCTGGTGCGTTAATAACAGTGGCAGTGATGGGGTGCTGTTAGCGCTGCACCCGGCTGAAGGTTGCCGGGTTCCCGGGAGTGGTTTGGCAGTGAGCTTGTCCATAGAACCCTGAAGCCCACAAGCCCTGTCCTAAGCGGGTGAGGTCTCAGCCCTGTGGCCTGTGTCAAAGTGACAGGCAGGATGCCCCGCCTGGTTGGGTTCTGTGTGGAAGAGAGCCCCCTCCGAGCAGCTCTGCAAAGAAGAGGGGAGGGCTTTTAGCCCCATCCTTTTAGCCCCATCCTCCAGAAGAGGGACTGAAACCCAGGAGGCGATGAACTTTACCCAGCATCCCTCAGCACCTAAGAAGCAGAGCTGGAATCGGGCCCCCAATCCCCAGCTCTCAGCCACGTCCTTGTCCAGTTCACCATCTGCCCCTTGCCCGTGTGGGCAGAAGAAGTCACAGGACGCAGGCTGTGCTCTGTCCCAGCCGTGCAGTTAAGCACGTGACTATTGGCCAAAAGGTTGGTGGTTCCAGCCCACCCAGGACACCTCAGAAGACAGGCCTGGTGGTCTACTTCTGAAAGATGACAGCCTTGGAAACCCCGTGGAGCTCTGGACACGTGGGTCGTGAGGAGGCGCAGTCGACTGATTGGCACCTGCCCACAGAACAGGAGGAAGAAGCTCTACAGTGCGCCTGGCGAGGGGGCGGGGCGACAGCGTCAGCGTGTGAGCAAACAGCCCCTCCCAGCATGTCCTCAGAGGCTCGGCCTGGTGGCAGGGAGCCAGTGGCCAGCCTGGTGAGGGGTTACTCCAGGCCTGGCCTTTTCAGGAGGAAGTGTGTTCAGCTCCCCACGGTGCTTCTCACGCTGGTGGCCTCAGATCCTCTCTGCCACTGTCAACCATCCTTCATTTAGGTTCACTTACTCTGCTAGTCTTCTGAGCCGTGGGCTCCATGTCCGTATCTCCTAGGGACATGTCAGTGTCCAAGGCAGGCCTGGTGCTCCTCACAGTCTCGCTGTGTGGTCGAGGGGGGCATGCTGCGGCCGGTGCATGTTGGGTTGTGAGGTGTGTTGTGAGGAGAGTGGGTGGCGTCTTGAGTCAGGTGATCAGCAAGTCTCATGGAGGAGGGGATATCCAACCAGGGCCTGAAAGACGAGGAGGCAAGACCATTTCGGGGAGCCTGAGTGGCGAGTCTGAGGGCCCAGGGTTGGCATATTTGAGGAGAGGGAGTGAGCCTGGTATGGGCGGGAGGAAGGGAGGGACAGCGGGGCTGCAGCTGTGGTGTGCGTCACGGGCACACTGCTGGGGCAGCCCTGGGCTTCTGGAAACAGCATGATGTGGTCAGATACTGGTTTCCAGGAATCGCTGGCTGGCGTGTGGAGGAGAGGTCCTGTGGTCAAGCAGGGGGGACTGGCAGCTGGTGAAGAAGTGACTGTGGGCACTGGGAGGCGGTGCTGTGGCTGGTGGGGTAGGGCCCGAAGACGGGAGCAGAGGTCGGATCAGGGACCAGGCCGGTGGGAGTGACATGACGGGTTCTAGGGAAGGAAGACACCTTTTCCGGCTGGAGGATGGAGCAGGTACTGGTGTCACTCCTGCTGTCAGCTCCAGCCCACAGCCACCGCACACACCACCGAGCAAAACACTGCCAGCCCCGTGACTGCCGGCAGGTCGGACGTTGTGATCCGTCAGGTTTTCCGAGGTTGGTCCCCAGGCCTGTTGCCTGGTCATTCTTTGTCTGGAAGCTCCACCGGAAGCTGTTCCGCCTCGGAGCAGCAGGCCAGCCCCACCGTTGGGTGGCGGCCGCCCGCGAGCTGGATTGGCTGCGATGGAGCTGGGGTTTCCTGTAATACAGGACGGCGGCTGCCCTGCCACTGAACCGCCACGCCCCCACGATGGCACTATACAAACGGGGAAACAGTGGGCTGCATCCGGTTTGGGAAGGAGATTCAAACTTGGCCGTGCACCTTGTTATCAGTTGGGTATGGAGGAGGGGCAGCCGGGGGACCACTGAGCAGCTGTGGGTGGGAAGGCCAACCACTCTCCTGTCCACCCTTCCTCACCTCCCCCCCACGACAGTGATCAACAAATACAAGCGCAGGAGATTCCAGAAAACCAAGAACCTGTTGACGGGAGAGACAGAAGCAGACCCGGAAATGATCAAGGTAACCGCCAGCAGGACCATTGGGTGTGAAGAGGCCACCAGGCCTGGCCGTGGCTCCGCTGCAGCCCGTCAGGATGCTTGTTGGGGCTCTTGTCTCTGGGCCTGGGTTTTCTTCTCTGGATACGGGGTAGGACTGCCAGCTGCCTGCTGGGGTGAAGAAGGCTCTGGGTGAGGTGGTCGTGGTGACGTGTTCCTGACCCCTCGCCAGCCCTGCATGGTGGCTCCCATCCCCAGCCCTGTGCTCTGTGCACACGCACTCCCGACCCCTCCCAGCCCCACGTGGTGTGGTGGCTCCTGTCAACCCTCTTCTCCAGAGGAAGAAGCCGAGGTGCAGGGAGGGGAAGCCTGCCCACCGTCTCTCACCAGGCGGCAGACTGTGTTCACCCCAGCAGCCAGCTAGGCCCAGCCCACACAGAGCTCGGAGCTGTGGTGGGTGCCACGGGCCTTCCTCTCAGAGGGTCCAGTCACCATGTGAGGCTGTGTGTGGGTCAAGCTGGGCTGGAACGTTCTCTAGCTCATAGATGTCACGAGGCCGCAGCCCAACCCACCGTCCAGGCCTCCCTGTACCTCTGTGGCCTCTGGCGGAGGAGTCCTCTCAGGAGGCCTGGAGCATCCAGGGAGATGGTGTCTGGGAAGGACTTGGCTCAACAGCAGAGTCGAGGTGGTGGCCGCTCTTGGCCATCAGGGTTGTTGCGGGAGCCCTGAAGAGGAGGGCCCGTGGAGGTCGGCACCCACTGAGCATCGCACCTGCTCTAAGACTATCACTCTGTCACCCCACACAGAGGGCTGAGGACTACGGGCCTGTGGAGGTCATCTCCCACTGGCACCCCAACATCACCATCAACATCGTGGATGACCACACGCCGTGGGTGAAAGGCAGTGTGCCCCCGCCCCTGGACCAGTGTAAGCGTTGTAGTGCCCCCAGCAGCTTGTGGGGAGATGCTCCAGGCCTGTGAGCCCCCGGCCCCCTCTGCTTCTCCCTGCCCTGCTCTGTTCCCCTCCCAGATACGGCCACCCCCCTCCCCTCCCTCACCCTTCTGTGACCCAGGACAGACCATCCCAGGGCCAAGACGGGGTCTGCAGACAGGTCCCATTCAGCCAGCGTGCCACTTTCCAAAAATGTGTATTGGTTGCCAATGTTTGAAATTGAGGCAGCATCCAGTGTGTTTCTCCTGCTTTGGTAAAACCTGGACATAAGAGAACCGAAGCCCCCTTCCCTGTGGGCAGCCGCGGGCCCTTCAGTTCCTCACATGCTCCTTGTCCCCAGGCTGTCAGGCCAGTCGGGGTTCCTGTAGATGTCTGAATTGACCACTCCAGACTTGGGGGCCCCAAGAGGCCTTGGGGGGGGGGTCCCACACCCTGAGCAGGGCTAAGTGGAGCCCGTCCTTTGCTGGCAGACGTGAAGTTCGACGCAGTGAGCGGCGACTACTTCCCCATCATCTACTTCAACGACTACTGGAACCTGCAGAAGGACTACTACCCCATCAACGAGAGCCTGGCCAGCCTGCCGCTGCGCGTCTCCTTCTGCCCGCTCTCCCTGTGGCGCTGGCAGCTCTACGCTGCCCAGAGCACCAAGTCGCCCTGGAACTTCCTGGGGGACGAGCTGTACGAGCAGTCGGACGAGGAGCAGGACTCGGTGAAGGTGTGTGCAGCCTGGGCGGCCCGGGGCCCGGGGCCCGGGGCTTCCCAGCACCTTGCTGGGCCCAGGGGGGAAGGGGAAGTGGGCCTCCCGAGAGGTGCTCCCTGGTTTCACAACCCCTAGGGCCCCCCGAGGGGGCAGGAAGTGGGTGCTGGGTCCTCCACCCCAGGGTCCTGTCCCTGAGGCCTTTGTCTTCTTTGCTGGACTGGAGCCTTGGGGCGGCAGCACACGCATGTGACAAGCGTGCGCACACACACAGGCACACAGGCACACAGACGTCTGCGTCTGCCCAGATCTGTGTCCGTGAATGTGGCCTTGGACACAGTGTCTCTGCTTGGCCCCACTGCATCTTGAAATAGCATCTGGTGTCTGTTTTTCTCCTCACCTGTGACTGTGGTGTTGAGACGCCGCCTGGCCTCTCAAGGTTGTCGTTGGTGCAAGGTCTGTGTCCCGTCATCTCTGACACCCGTCTCCCTCCGTCTCTTGGCCTCATTCCCCTTGGCCGTCTGCCCATCTCCTCCTCTGTCTCTCCCCTTCTGTGTCTGCTGTGCTCGCTCACTCCTCATCTGTCCACCTCTGGCCGGTGCGCTCACTTTCTCTTCCTCTCTGGGCAGCCCCAAGGGTCAGGTCTGGGGGAAGTAGCCAAAGGTCCTTCCGGGGGCCCAGGGGACAGGAGAGGGGCCTGGGGCAAGGGAGGGCAGTGCTCACAGGGACTTTCCTCTGCCCTGCCCACCCAGGTGGCCCTCCTGGAGACCAACCCCTACCTGCTGGCACTCACCATCATTGTGTCCATCGTCCACAGCATCTTTGAGTTCCTGGCCTTCAAGAATGGTAGGGCTGGGTCCGTGAGCCTGCAGGAGGCCACGGGCATAGGGCCTTGCCCCCTTCCTTCTCCCCTCCATCCCCCCGGTCCCGTCTCTGCCTGGGGTCTCCCAGCCCCGCCCTCTGGAGGGCTACTGAGCTTGAGAAGGAGCAGTGGCCCCAAAGCTCCCAACCCAGAAACTCCCTCCCCCTGGGCGAGGCACTGAGGAGGGGCAGACGGCACCTCCAGGAAGCAGGGCTGGGGAACTCCAGGAGCAGGGAACCCCCAAGCTGCTCCTACTGCCCTTCCCGGCAGGCCGCCTGTTGAAGTGGCCCTCAGGGTGAGAGGAGGCTGCCCTGGCCCCAGTAAGGCCCCCGGGGCCTGGAGGCCAGCCAAGCTGGAGGCTTGCATTTGTGGAAGACTGCCATGAGCCAGGCCCTGCCTGGAGCACCTTGCCAGGTGGCTTCCATGAGGAAGCCTGTTGTCACCCGTGGCTACCAGTAAGGACGCGGAGGCCCGGGCAGTTAGAGGGGCTTGTGTCCGGTCACACAGGACCCAGGTGGCCGGCCAGAGCCCTGACGTGCGGCCTCCTAGCCCCACGGCCGTGCCTGCCCTCCCCAGCGGATGCTGGTCAGGGGGCGGAGGCCTGCTGCCCTGCACCTGCCGGAGTCAGCGCTGTGGCTGTTGTCGGGAGTTACCTCCTAGAGGAATGGAATGCCCTAAGTGAGCCGTCGTGGTGCTTGTCCTCTGACAGGGAGGCTGTTCCAAAGAAAGAAACCAAACCAGCCGCCGTCGAGTCGTCGACTCGTGGTGCCCCGTGGGTCTCGGGGAGCTGAGCCCCACAGGGTTTCCGTGGTTGTGATGTTTCAGAAGTAGATAGCCAGGCCTTTTTACCAAGGTGCCTCTAGCTGGAGGACTCAAACCACTGCCCTTGGGTTAACAGCGGAGGACTTAACGCTTTGCACCACCACAGACTCAGGGAGGCTGTTACTGAGTGCTCACTGGCCACGTGCCACCCTGTAACCCCCCCGGTCCTGTGTACTGGGATCAGCTGGGATCCCTTAACTACCAAAGAGACAGAAAGGCACAGGGTGGTGTGGCTTTAACACACGGCTTCAACAGACCTCCCAGTCTGAGGGGGCTGGGGTCCTTCAGCCCCTCAGAACCCAGCCCAGACCCGTTCCCCCCAGTCAGGGTCAGGCAGGGATCTGGAAATGCCCCCGTCAAAGCTGCTCAGGGGCATGATGTCCCAGTGGAGGCAGCTGGGTTGGGGGAAGCCTGTGGAGTGTGGCGGCAGCCAGAAATGGGGTGGGTCAGGCCCGGCCTGGCCTCTGTGAGCCGGCTACGGTCCACGGAGGAGGGTTGGCCTTGTGATGCTGCACGGCCCCCCCAATGTCCCAACTGCTGACCCCTCTGGCTGGCTCGGTCACACAGTGGGAGCTGTGACTGCTGTCACCCCCATTGGGCAGGTGGGTGGGGAGCCAGGCAGATGAGGCGCCGAGGCCCAGCGAGGGGCCAGGCGCCTGAGGTGCAGGAGCAGCCCCAGCAGGAGCTCCGGGTTGGAGGCCACCGTGCAGGGCGCTTGTCTCTGTCCTGAGTGTGTCTCTGGGCCAGTTGTTGGTTTCAGGGTGGAGGCTGGAGGGGGTCTCAAGGCACGTGTTCTGGATCTTCCTGCCCCAGGGGCCAGGATGTCCCCACTGTGCACAGCCCTGGCCCACCCCATGCAGCCATACTCAGGCTGTGCGGCCTTGGGGCAGTGGCTCCCTGTGGCCCTTGCACCCAGTGCAGTGGACACCAGTCCACGGCCCATCGAGATCTGTCAGGCAGGGGCTCGTCCCACGCTGCCTGTCCCAGGTGAACCAGAGACTGTCCGTGGGAGGGGGCGGCGATGTGCACCCCACCCCACAGAGAACCCCACCCTGCCCCGGGGGATGCGGCTGCCTCGGGGGCCCCAGCCTCTCCCTCTGCCCCCGCGCAGACATCCAGTTCTGGAACAGCAGGCAGTCCCTGGAGGGCCTGTCCGTGCGCTCCGTCTTCTTCGGCGTGTTCCAGTCCCTCGTTGTCCTTCTCTACATCCTGGACAACGAGACCAACTTCGTGGTGCAGGTCAGCGTCTTCATCGGGGTCCTCATCGACCTCTGGAAGATCACCAAGGTCATGGATGTCCGGGTGAGCTGCCACCTCGCTGTTGCAGGGACCCTGGAGGGGAGCTGGCCCGGCCGGGACTCTGGAGCCGGCCCTGGGGGCTTTCCCGACGCCTCCCCCACTCCCTGGACCAAGGGGGATTTTCACAGCAGGGGATTTTTCGGGTCACATGTAGGGCAGGGGAACTGGGAATGGTGGGGAAGGGCAGGGGCTGGGCCAGCATGGTGGGTGGGAGCCACTGGGGCAACTGACCGGGCCTCCCTCCCTGTCCACAGCTGGACCGGGAGCACAGGCTGGCAGGAATCTTCCCCCGCCCGACCTTCAAGGACAAGTCCACGTACGTCGAATCTTCGACCAAAGTGTATGACGACGTAAGTGCCTTCCACAGTTGGTTAGAGCAGTGGGTATAGGCTGGGGCATCTGTCTGTGACTGAGGCGTGACAGCTGTGTCACACCCTGGCTCCACACCTGCCACATGTCCTGGCCAAGTCCAGAGTTCCCAAGGCCACCTGGAAAGTCCCCTGGGGTAGGCCCACTGGGCCAGGTGTGGGCGGGCAGGGTGGAGCCGCGGAGCCGGGTCACAGCCTTCCCGACGACCCCACAGATGGCGTTCCGGTACCTGTCGTGGATCCTCTTCCCCCTCCTGGGCTGCTACGCTGTCTACAGCCTCCTGTACCTGGAGCACAAGGGCTGGTACTCCTGGGTGCTTGGCATGCTCTACGGCTTCCTGCTGACCTTCGGTGAGCCGCCCTGCCGTCCACGCTCAGCACCCTGCACGGCGGCCACCCTCCAGGACCTGCGCCCAGGCTCTGGGCCGGCTGTGCTCAGACCTGCAGTGATCAATCAGCCCCACATGGGACACCCAGTCCAGTCAGGGAGGCAGACTTGTGCCCTTACAGTGACAGCCTGGAGCAGGCTGGACTGTGGAGCCTGAGGGTTGGAGAAGGCTTCCTGGAGGAGATGAACAGTACATTCCAGTCCCTGCCCCCAGAGAGCATGTCATCCTGGGGGGACCCAGACAGTGAGCAGACTAGTGGGTCACAGAGCGAGGGGAGTGCTGGAAAGGGCACAGTGAGGGGCACCCTCAGGGGCGGTCGTGAGGCGCAGGAGGGGCCTCGCAAAGACCTGGTAACAAAGCAGCGCAGGCCCAGGGCTCTGAGGTCGGATGGGCCCGCGGCGTTTGGAAGCAGGAAGAGGAAGCCGCTGTGGCTGGAGCCCGGTGGGCAAGGAGAGGGGTGAGAGGCGTGGGCAGCGAGGGCAGGGTCTGGGAGCCAGGCCCTCAGCTGCAGGCTGTGTGTGTCGCCTCTGCTCACATGCCTCTCTCTACTGCCCCCTGCCCGCCTCAGGCTTCATCACGATGACACCCCAGCTCTTTATCAACTACAAGCTCAAGTCCGTGGCCCACCTGCCCTGGCGCATGCTCACCTACAAGGCTCTCAACACCTTTATCGACGACCTGTTTGCCTTTGTCATCAAGATGCCCGTGATGTACCGGATAGGCTGCCTGCGGGATGGTGAGGCCCAGCGGGCGGGCCAGGCAGGGCCCCCGTCAGGGCAGGGTCCGGTCTGAGGGCGCTTGGTTCAGTCTTTTCAGGACCCTGGTTAGCTCCCCAGCCACAGCTCAGCCTGACCTTGGGCTGGGGGACGGGTGTGTCCTCGTTATCTGGTGCTGCTGACAGACACTCAGGTGGGCGGCTTAAACCAGTTTCTCGCACCGTTTAGGAAGACAGAATTACGAAGTCAGGGTGCTGGCTCTGGGGGCAGGCTTTTTCTCTCTGTCTCTTCACTTCTTCCCAGATCCTTGGAGATCTTCATGTGTCCTCGCATCTGTCTTCCCCCTCTCTACTTCTCTTGGTTGTTTTGTTCTTTTTTTATATCTCAAAAGTGATTGACTCAAGACATGCCCTATGCTTATCCTGCTAGTCATTCCAAATAGGGTTATAACCACAGGCATCGAGGTGAGGGATTAGAATATGTATTTTTGGAGGACACAATTCAATCTATAACATACCACCCTTTGGCTACCGCCCCCCCCAAAATTCGTGTCCTTCAGCTACATGCAAAACAGTCACCCCGTCACATCCTCAAAGTCTTAAAGCTAAACTCTGAGTCTAAAATCTCATCTTCTCATTCCTCTGAATTAGATATGGGTGAGACATTAGGTGTCTTCCATCCTGGGCCATGCTCTTCATCTGTGAGTCTAGATCACAAGTTAGCTTGTTTCCCCAGGGCAACGGTGGAACGAGTACAAGGTAGATGCTTCCAGTACAAATGAGAGAACTTGGAGGGGAGGGACGGATAATGGGCACCCAGCAAATCCAAAAGCCAGCAAAACAATTTGCATTAGCTCTCGAGGGTTGAGAGGGACCCTGTGTTCTCTGAGACTGCCTGAGCAGTGGTCCTGCCCTGCAGACTCTGGGTTGGCCGTGCCTTCTGGATTCTGAATAGAGGCCCTTCAGCAGCTTCAGCTCCCCTTCAGGCCACCAGGACAGCACCTCTGCTCTCTTAGTCCATCTGAGTGGTGATGCCAATCCCTTGGGCCCAGCAACCCCTTTCTTTTGCCCCTAGGCATGGCAGCAGTCACCCCACACACGCACACCGTAATGGTAGCCCCACGCTCTGGAACCGGCTCTTTGAAACGTAGGAGGCTGTGGCCCCACCCTTTGAGACCCAGGAGACTGTGGCCCCACCCTTTGAGACCCAGAAGGCCCTGCTTCCCATGTGCTTTCCAGCCGTCCGGCTGGTCTCCAGGCTGCTCCAGGGGCGGTCCTTTCCTTTTCTTGGAGAATAATATACGTGGCTTCCTTGGCCTGTTTCCTGCCTGTGGAATTTTAAGAGGCAGACAGCTTGCTTTCCTTTTGTTTTTTCTCTGCCCCCTTCAGTCTAAGCTGGTGGGTTTTCTGCTTTGGTCGTTGGTTAGATCCATTAAGCACAGGCTTCATCATTAACAAATAATCGTATAGCCATGTTTTTGGTGAATATTATAGAACATGTGTCTTTTGTTTGTTGTTGTTATTGTTGTGTTATGTGCCGTGGAGTCGGACCCGACTCATAGTGACCCCTCCTTGGGTTTCCGAGGCAGTATCACTACGGAAGTAGGTTGCCCAATCTTCCTTCCGAGGAGTGGCTGGTAGGTTTGAACCACCAGCCTTCTGGTCAGCAGTCAAGTGCCTTAGGCACCCCTTTGAGATCTTCCTTTGAGGTCTCATCAGCCAGATACCCAAGTTCATCACTTACAGATTCCACCAAACATTGGAGCATAATTCAGACAAGTTCTTGGCACTGCGTAAAGAGCATTGCCCTTCCTCCACTGTCCAGTCACATGCTCATCATTTTCTTTTAATGTCTCACCAGAGCACATTTAACATCCAGTTTCTAGCAGCGTTCTGTAGCTGGCGTCATGTGTGTTCTCTGAGAGACTTTCTCTATAGTCCTTCCCACTTTGCCTGTGAGCACTCACCAGAATTCCCTTTGACATCTGTGATTCTACCAACAGTTTCTTGAAGCCTATGTTGGCTTTTACTTACTATTAATCACCTTAAAAGTCTTTTTTTTCCCCATAGAAAAATCGTTAATTTATTTGGACTAGACTCAGCTGCATGTTAGTGGCAGCAGCTGCTCACACGTCTTCCAAACCCACTGCCATCAAGTTGATTCAACTCAAAGCAACCCCTAGGACGGAGGAGAACTGCCCCGTAGGGTTTCTAAGGCTGTCAGTCTTTTTTTTTTTTTTTAATTTATTCCTGTGATTTGGGTGCATATTTACAAAGCAGATTTGTTTTACTCTCAACAGTTCATTCATCTTTGGTTTCACGGCCCCAATTACAATCCCAGCAACAAAATGCTGTCCTCGCGTCTCCTCTCCGTGACTACCCCTTCCCTTCTTACCTGTGCATTCCGGTCTGTGCAGCTTTCCTCTATGCAAATGCTGCCCTTCTGATGTCTCCTGGTTGGTTGATCTAAGGGGTACATCTTGCTAGGGTGGGTGGATGCATCTCCCTGGGGTAGGTGTTTGGCTGGTAGGCCTTTCTGTTGTTTGGCTGAGAGCTAATCCACGGAAGTGAGTCCAGGTCCACGCCTAGAGGATTACCCAGGGCCATTGTCTCGGAACCTCCACCAGTCCGTCCGACCAGTAATTCTGATCATGTTTGTGCTTTTGAATTTTGTTCCACATTTTCCCTCCCACTCTATCCAAGATCTCTCATTTTGATCCCTTTCCCAGTGGTTGGCATTGTTAGCCAGGCTCCATCTATTTCTTCTGGTCTCAAGGTCCTGAAGGCTGAGATTCCTGTGGTCCATCATACCTTGGACTAATTGTTTCTATATGACTTTGATTTTCTTCACTCTTGGCTCTGGATGAGAGGGGACCAATAGTTGCATCTTAGATGGACACTCAAAAGCTTTTAAGACCTTAGTCACTACTTACCAAAGTAGGATGTAGAACAAGATTTTTGTGTGCTATGTTGTGCCAATTGAGTTTGATGTCCCCTGAGACTGTGGTCCTAAGCCTGCGGGCCCAGTGACTCACTCTCTCAAGGTGCTTGATTGTCACTGAGAAGCTACTCCCAGCCTTGTCCCGAGTTACTTCTATAATGTGTATAGACATTGTTGTAGCACAAATACTTGTGTGAGGATGTCAGCCATATCTGTCTGTGGTTGGGTATGGTTCCAGTTCGCCCACCCACACCTGATCTTCTTATCTGTGTGTGCATTTGCCCATGAACTAGGGTTTGTTGTTCCTGGTAATGCAGCATTGTGCGTGTCAATAGTATTTGCCTTTGTTGTCTGCATCTTCCATGCATGTTTCTGCGTCCTCTAAGAATGCGGAGCGCGTCATGAGTTTGTGTGTCATCCTTGCGCGGGAGCCATGCTAATCTCTGTATTGTTCCAATCTCAGTGCGTGTCCGGAGGCAAGCGCAGCACCTTCAGACTCTTCCAGCCTCCCCATCACCCATTTCCAAAGCTGCTTCCATATTGAAGTTGTCTGTTAGAGCGGCCCCCCACTCTTCTGGTACCAAATTCTATCTTAGGTATCCAGTGCTGCTGTTATAACAGAAATAATGGCAAGGGGTGGCTGTAGGAACCAGAAATGTGTCTTCTCATGGTTTAGGAGGTGAGCAGCCTGAATTCTGGGTGCCGGCTCTTGGGAAGGCTTTCTCTCGCTGTCGGCTCTAGAGGAAGGTCCTTGTCTTTTCGCTCCTGCCTCTGAGTGATCTTCGTGTGTCTTTGCCTCCCTCATCTCCATCTCTTTTTCTCTCCCTTGCTGTTTAGTCTCTTTTATATCTCAGAAGACATTGACTCAGGACACACCCTACACTAATCCTGCCTCATTAACATAATAAGCACAACCCATTCCCCAGTGGGATTATCCCCATAGGCACAGAGAGTGAGGATGTGCAGCACATGATTTTGGGGG